GTAACTGTACTGTATCCCTAAATGTACCAATAAACTCAATAAAAAAAAAATAAAATAAATAAAATAAAATGTACATCATCACAAATAGAAAGCTAATAGAAATGCCGGCGGGATATTTCAGAGCCACAAAACCAATTCAGAATTTTGATAGTACTTGATGTGGCAAGGAGTTTGGAAACAGTACCCACTGTGAAGCAAGGTGAAGGTTGTGAAAATTTGAAAGCACAATTTGCAATACCTATTAGAATAAAACTGACCCAGTAATTTCACTGTTATCCTCCAGATAATTCACACAGTGCACATAGTTAAAGTTATATACATGTAGTCATGAGAAAAGTATGTATATCTGTGCAAAGTTCTTTTTTATAGCTTTGATTTTTGTACTGCTAAAGCTACAGTAACCCCCATTCATTACCATGTACATATGTATGTCTTTTGAGACAGGCTCTCACTATGCGGCCCAGGATAGCCTCAAATTTGTGATTTCCCTGCCTTGGCCTCCTGTCATCTTCCAGAAGACAGCTGTTTTTTCCTTTTAAAAAAAAATTTTTTTTTTCTCTTTACCATGTGCTTACTCCCAGATCCTCTGTAAAGCAGAGCCTGAGGCAAGAATAAAGACTGGATGCTTTATTTGGAACATGCAAGTTGCAGGACTGGACAGAGAGCAATGAAGAGAAATTAGGCTGGGAGGCTGGGAAGCAATAATCCGAGCTTCCCTGTGGGCAGCTGTTTCCCAACAGTAGACTCTGGGCTGCACGCAGAACTTTCAGCAGGAGTTTGGTCACAAGGAGACTGCATTTCTGAGTAGTGTACAGTAGCTTGGGGCAGTGCCCTACTCACCTAAGAAATTTGGAAATGGAGAGGCTTTCTTCCTGGATGCTGCTGGCCTCCCATTCCTCAGTTAAAGACAGCAGGGTGATCATGCTTCCAGTGTCATGGCTCTTAATGGCTCCTCAGTAAGCCAAACTCCATACCCCAGTCTGTGGTGCTTCATGTCTGACAGTGGGAGCTGAAGTGAGGAGGCAACGAGTGTCTCTCATAAGGCACGCGCTGTGTCCAGTGAGACTGAAAGACGCGAGCCTTGTGCGGGACCGTGTTGCTGTGGACAAGAGCACACAAGCCGGCCGTTCTCAGCAGTGGCCTGAAAGCGTAGATAATAATGCCCTGAGAAATAAGCTCTGTGCCTAGAAATGAGCAGAGAAGCCACATCTGTGAAGACGCTGCAGAAGTGTTCAGACCCAGCCAGGGATTGCGCGTGCAGCCCCTGAGCAGTCGTCCCCAGATATCCATGCATCAGTCAACACTGCAAGCTGTAGGACTGAACTGCAAGCAGCTGCTGTTTGCAGCCCTCTTCGCTGATGTTGAGAACAATACTTTCAGAAATGTTAGAGAATCCAAATGAGAGAATTCTACCCAGTAGTCAGCCCCTGAGCAGTCGTCCCCAGATATCCATGCATCAGTCAACACTGCAAGCTGTAGGACTGAACTGCAAGCAGCTGCTGTTTGCAGCCCTCTTCGCTGATGTTGAGAACAATACTTTCAGAAATGTTAGAGAATCCAAATGAGAGAATTCTACCCAGTAGTTAAAAGAATTAAACATCGTTGTTCTGACACAGGAATATATTTAAGTTTTTAAAAAATAATATATGTATACATATATATATATATATCTTTTATTTTGGAATATATAATGGTATATATTTGGTATATCATGGTGTATATGTTATGATTATATGATGACATGTTGCAGGAGAAAAAAGATAACATTATACACATTTACATGTGCTTTTCAAAGTTCTCTAGGGTACAGAAAACCTGTTAAAAGATATTATTAGCATGAAGGCTCTAGAGAGAAGCCAAGGGCCAACAGCAGGGGAAATCTTTAGTTAATACCTTATGTACTTTACTATTGGAATGATTTTTAATGAGAACATACTGTTATTTAAATGAAGATAAAGTAAAATGTTAAAATGTGAGACACACTCAAGATAAAAACTTAAAAATATTTTTAATGAGCAAGGAACAAAATTCACCTCTGATTCTATTAATATTCTGTGAGGTTCTCAAAAAAAGACACACAAGAGGCGAACAGCCATCTGAAAATATGCTCAAGTTCATTAATAATCATGGAAATGCAAATCAAGGCCATGCCGAGATAACCCCTCAGACCTGTTAGGGTGTCTGTTATCAGAAAATGAAGAGGGGCGGGGGATTCAGTTATGTGGTTCGGGCGCCTGCCTCACAAGCGCAAGGACCCCCCCCCAAAAAAAAAGAGCAAAAGAGAATAAGCACTGGCAAGATGGTTGGGAAACTGGAACCCTTGTACACTACTGCTGTGAGAACATGAAATGGTGTAACCATGATGGGAGGCAGTGTACAGGTTTCTAAAAAATTTAAAATGGAATCACATGGCTTTGACGTAGCAGTCTTCTTTTAGGGTGTATATGAAAAGAATTAAGACTGAGATCTTCAGGAAATAGTGGTAATCCCATTACTGCTAATAGCCAGGGTATGGAAATGATCAAATGTCACCAGAACAAGTGACATGTACAATTAGTGAAATATCATTAGGTCTTTACAAAGAAGGAAATCTTATCATTGATGACACCAATGGGCTTGGAAGACATACAAAATCAAATATGTTAGCCACAAAAGGACAAGCACTGAATGATTCCTCTTACTGAGGCATCTAAAATAGTCAGACTTAAAGAGATGGACGATAAAATGGTGGGTACAAGAGGATAGGGAGAAGGGGCATGCAGGACTGCTAATTGTGTGTGACACTACAACTGCACAAGATGTATACATTTCAGCAGTCTGCTGTGTAACAGCGTCTACAGCTAACCAGGAGGTGTGGCACAGAAAAGTTTAAGAGGATAGATGGCACATTGTGTTAACACACACATACACCTTGGGCCAAAACAAAACACAACAGACAGCAACAGTGCAGCAAAACTAAGCTCCCTAAACAGATGTAAGGAAATGCTTGGAAGAGCGGGTGTATTTATTATCATTCTAACAGTGAGGGTTACATGAGCATATTCAGATGTCCAAGTCATCAAATGTTATTTACCTTCTGTTTTCTAAATATCAACGTGTACCTTGATAAAAACAGGAAAAAAATTTTAAATTTGTGATTTTCTTTTTTGGAAAACTTTCTGTGCCTATAAACGCAATCATAATTTTAATGTGGACAAGAGCATATGTATGTACACTTTGTTTCTCAGTATTTGAAGATAATTGAAAATACCACCATTTTGGTGACTGTAATATTCCGGAGCTGTACTTTGTTCATCCCTTCACATCTTTCTTCACTAGTCTTCCCCAGTTCTTTTCTTTCATTACTAAACAAGCAAATATGCCTTGCCGAGGCGTAGTACTGAGCTCTACCAACAATTCTGTGTCCTCCTAAGCAGTGTGGAGAACACAAGAGTCTGGGCCAGGGATATAGCTCAGTGGTTCCACCCGTGCCTTGCAAGCTCAAGGACCCGAGTTCAATCCCCAGTACAAAAAAGAAAAAAAAAAGAGAGAGAGAGAGAGAGAAAAGAACACAGAGTCTGCCCTGGAAACAGCTCTTCCCGCCTTGTTAGCGTTCCTTTACCAGGTCTGCACTGATGACCATTTCTAAAACAGCATTGCCTTTCGTTCCCTTCTGGTTCCTTCCTTGATGACAACTTCTGAGTTGTCCCCAGAGGCAGCTGATGAGATTTAGGAAGGTGATTGGATGATAAGGGCTCTTAACTACCTCAGTGGATTGATTCACCGATGAGCTTTTAATTACTGGAAGGTAAGGGAAACTCAGGTGGGGCCGAGTTGAGAGAGGGAGTCATGGAGGTGTGACCTTGGGAACCGTATCTTGTCCTTGGTCCCCTCTCTATCTCCATGCATTTTAAGGAGAGCCATGGCCGTCATAGACCTGCATCCTTGCCAGGCATGGGGATGCAAGCCTGTGATCCCAGCACTCGGGAGGCTGAGGCAGGAGGATCACTGAGTTCGAGACCATCTTGGGCTACATGAGCTCCACGTCAGTCCCAACTGCACAGTGAGACCCTGTCTCAAAAAACCAAAAAAAAAAGACATCCTTGAACTGCTTTTTAGGTCAAGTTGGGGACAAAGTGAAGAAGAGGGTTCAGAGGAGCAGGGCTAAATATTGATCAAATAGAGTCATTAGGAAGGAAAATCAAGAGCAAGTGGGAAAATGTCCACTCTAATCTCAATAAAAGGCCTTGAAACCAGGAGGGGCATTACAAAGAAATGAAATAAGGAATAGTTCAATGACACTGGCCACTGAAGGGACTGCATCATTCCAATCACCAAAAACTGGGTGCTTATTCATAACATACTGCTAAAATCTAAAGTTATTTACTTCATGTATATCTGGCCTCCCAGGAAAAAAAAAGTTAATGTTTAAAGTTGGATTTCAGTTTCAGTATCCTGCAAATTAGTCACTAGTCCAAATGAAGCTTAGAAAATTGACCTGTTATTTAAGACATTGCTCCC